CAGGAGGGGAGGCTCAGCAGCAATGATCGCGTGCTCGCCATCAATGGGCATGACCTGAAGCACGGAACTCCTGAGTTGGCCGCCCAGATCATTCAGGTACACTTGAGATATGCATTCCTGATGCTTGGCCTTCATTACCATATATCAGTATTTTGTTTTCATCAGCCAATAACATAAGAATCTGGGCATATTTGATATTTCATTGGAAAAATCAAGCACAGCTATTAAATTCTTCAAAATCCACAGTGGTATAATTTCATTATAGATAGAATCTTTTCTAAGCATTGTGTTCCATGAACTTTTAGGCTGGCTATTTATAGAGTGCAGTCTCTAAGTTTCATTTCTCGTTTGCTCCCTTGGCTCCATCTAGCACTAAACATAACATACGGTGTTGTCCACATATAACAAATGAGAAAAGTAAGGTTCAAAGGATCTGTGATTACCGAGGTTGTGACTTACCTCATCTCTTACCTTTCCATCTTCACTTTAACATACATAAAAATAGAAAGTCGTTTTTTATTAAGAATAACTGTCATTCCTATAATGCCTTTTTTTTTCCTCTTCAGGAATTTAAAGCAATTCAAACACATAACATTTCTCCTCACAGTATCCCTGTGAAAAAAGTAAGGATAGTTATCATCACAGAAAAATCATGTTTTTAGTAAGAGTATTAAACCAGATAAATGTAGAAAACCACCCAGAGAAGATTTCAGGTTCTGCAACATGCCATGGCATTTAACCCAATGTGGGTATCTCCTAAAGAGATCAGGGTGAAACAAAAGTGCCTTTTTTTTTTCTTTAAGTAAGCCCAACAGAACACTCTAAAGCAGCGATTCTCAACCTGTGGGTCGCGACCCCTTTGGCGGTCGAATGACCCTTTCACAGGGGTTGCCTAAGACTATCCTGCATATCAGATATTTACATTACGATTCATAACAGTAGCAACATTACAGTTATGAAGTAGCAATGAAAATAATTTTATGGTTGGGTCACAACATGAGGAACTGTATTTAAAGGGCCAGAGGTTGAGAACTGCTGCTCTAAAGGAAATCAAGAATTAATATAATTGAGCATCAGGAATTAAAGTAGGTGGATAGTCACTAAAAAATGTGTATACTACACAGGTATGTAGGTACATATTTACACAAATACTTAACATATGCACTTACCTTATAAATTCTGAGTTTGCAACTTTTTCTTTACGTCAACAGTATGTTGTGGACTTCTTATCATAACAGTAAGTGTAGATTCACATCATGATTCTTAATACCTGTGGGCATGTTGTGTTCTATAACTTATGTTTTGTTTTCAAGTTTAAGACATTTTGCTAAACTTCCTTCTGTAAAGATAAGACCATACTAATTTATACACCCAGTAACAAAGCATGCTACTTATTTATGAATCATGGGTATTGTCATTTGGGCATCCTGCATTTTAAAATACCTTGACTTTAACACAACTCTTTTGCTGTGTTTGAAACCCTGGAATATTACATGTGCAGTCTGTTTAAAGTAAGCCTAATTGCCTACTTCCATCACATGCAAAGAATTTTGTCTTTGAAGCAATCTAAGATCAATGGTTTGTTTCTGTTTAAAGTTTTGTAAACAGGGGTTTTCCAGTAAAGTTGAAATACTGATTATGAAATATCTAGTAGTTATCAAGTGTTAAGCATAATGAAAATGATCTTGTACATTGAAATGAAGTCACAAAGGGAGCGTCTCACCACTTCACACTGTGTGATCTAATAATCTGAAGTGTCAGAATTCTAAGTATGAGAATTCTGAATATTCTACTTCGTTATTTATCCTTTAGATCAAGTCCCAGCCTCTGCTTTGGAAGTTTGGCTATATATTAACTGTTCTTTCAGTTATTCTAAAGAACTAGTCTGAAATTATTTAGTGCAATAAAATGCTTGAATAAGAATGATTTTCATTGGTATTTAAAGTTGGTTATCACTTATTTTCCAATTTAAGAACTAAAAATGGAGTAATTTCTTACATTATTGACTGTAGTTATGAGGGAGTTCCCCTCTTTCTACCACAATTCCTTGAAAGTAGGCTATCCTATTTTCCCAGAGAAATAATAATAAAATTGGAAATTGTGGTCATGACCAAGAGTCAACATCAAATAAATTAGTCTTGTACATTAAAAGCAAAGATAAAATAATTTAAAATAAAAATTAAGTAACAAAGTATTTTAAAAATATACTAAATATGAATCTCTGTTTAAAATACAGATATATAGATAATGGACCTCTAAATTTAAAATAATAATCATAAACCTCTAAAGTAACTTACCATAATAAACCTTAGGGACATATGGCTGTGTCATACACATACTGTGTGTGTGTGTGTATACATACACATATACATATACATATACATATACATATATATATATATATAGTCTTGTTATACAGGATCTCTATAATCATTCTTTTCAGGACTGTTCAAAAATTTGGTCCTATTTTGACTCAAACCTATCACAAGCAAAAACAAAGCTGTGGGTAGTTTCATTGATTATTACTTCCAAAGTAGCCACCATAAAATTTATTTCAAAAGTCACAATGGATTTTAATTAAGCATTGAATCATTTCTTCCTTTCTATCTTCTTTCCTTTGCTGTGACCCTCTCAGTGCCAGGGCTAGTATTGAAAGGGCAAAGACGTAGTTTTTAAAAAGTCATCTTACTGGTTTGGCTCAGTGGATAGAGCATTGGCCTGTGGACTGAAGGGTCCCAGATTCGATTCCGATCAAGGACACCTGCCCGGGTTGTGGGCTCTATCTCCAGTAGGGGGCGTGCAGGAGGCTGCTGATCAATAATTCTCTCTCATCATTGATGTTTATATCTCCCTCTCCCTTCTTCTCTGAAATCAATAAAAAGTATATTTAAAAAATAAAATGTTACCTTACCCTTCAAGAAATCAAGGGGAGATGAGAACACAGGCAGTTTTACTGCTTTGCCTTGGTTATATTGGAGGTGGAGTTGGGGAGGGCCTACCCCGGAGTTCTGTGTGTGTGATTCACCTGCAGAAGTTTTAAAATATTAACTCATGAAATGAACCTCCTTCTTCCCTACCACCAGGTGCTTGCATTTACTACCCAAGCAAGGCTTTGGTATAACGATAAGTGCATTGGAAATTATACTGCCTATAATTTTTACAATGAGAAGCTTCATTAATGACTGGTGGTAATGTATGTGTGTTTCCTCCAGGCTAGTGGAGAAAGGGTCAATTTAACAATTGCTAGACCAGGGAAACCCCCGCCTGGTAACACTATCCGAGAAGCAGGAACTCAGAGCAGCAGCCAGCACCATGCGCAGCCACTGTATTACAGCAGACCCAGCTCACATAAGGTGAGGCGTTGTGTGTGTTTGTGTGTTTTCATTTATCCACCCTCAAAGGATCATTGTTACAAGCTGGTAAACTTTAAATGAGGGCTGTTACTCTGTTGGAGAATGTGAACATTGGTGTTGAGGAGGTAAAATGTGCATGTTTTGCTGCCTTGGAGAGTGACTCTGTTGTCTCAATTCTTCAGATAATAGAGATGGTTCCTTAATGAAGAAAGTCCCTCTGCCAGGTGATTGATCAGAAGTGTTTGATCTTCCAGAAAAAAAATTCTATTTAGTCTTCCTTGAAAGTGGGCTTTATCTTGGGTTGCTCATTTAAATGCAGCAGTTGGTTGTCTGACTGAAAAAGCAAAATGGAGACAGTGATGGACAAGTCTATACTTAGCAATTGAGCAGGTTGCCTGCCACAACAGAATTAGATATGTGATTATTAAACATATAAATCATACATTTTCATACGTACTAGTATGGCACTTTTTTTTAATACTATAGCTTAATAGGAATACTACCCTAAATTTTTTAAAATTCCCATATGTTGAGCATTTTTACAGCTTCATTAATATTTCACTGGTATTATAATATATTCCTAGGACATGTATATCTGTACTGAAAATTTTGATATTCTCTAACTTTAGTTCCAGAAATCAAAAAAGGGTGGTACTTCACTGCATTTTTTGTATTATTTACTTCATTGGAGCCTTCACTTGAACTGAACTTCTGATTGGCCAGGATTTTTTCAACGATGAGGTTCACCCAACTGTGTGAAAATATAAGCTAAATGTGAGGTTCAAAAGTGACTTTCCTTAAGTAAAATTAAATTGCTTTATCAAACAGAAACTTATTCATTGGTCTGCTTAAAAACCATAGAAGTTGCCTGTGTGTTAAAATGGCTTCTTAATGTAAGTACAGTATTTGAGAAAGTAATTACCTTTGGAATGTCATGGGTACCCTAAAAAAGCTTTGCTTAAAGACATGAATATTTTTGGCCCATCAAGTTTATCTGGTTTTCTGAGCTTAAGTATAGACTTGTCACTGATCTTTGGTTTACTTACTACGTACACAAAATTATAACCACAGTCTTTGTTCTCATTTTTGAACAAAAACCAAAATGTATGAGGGAAACCTATAATTTTGCCTTCATAATGATGACTATGAAAAAGGAGTTAGTGTTTTGAACAGGAAATTTTAATAGTAGTCATTTCAGATAGCTTGTCCTAGCTTTACAAGATATATATTCCTAAAGAATTGTAGTATAAGCCAAAAGTTGATTATTGAATCTTTTATGTCATTGAATTCTACAATGATTTGGGATATGGATGTCTGACAACATTATAATTTTAAGACATAAGACAACTTTTAAAATTGTGTTTAATTATTTCAACATTCATATAGATAACTGATTCATTTTGTTTGGAGTACATATATTTTTCTCTTTTAACTCTGCTAATTCTTATTCTCCTTAATTTTATGTCACAGTGTTTTACATAGTAATGCTGAATTTATTCTTATTCTAGGTACTCTGCAAACCTGTTAGTTGGAACAACCACATGAAATGTACTTTTAAGAGTTAATTTAGCTATTTACTCTTGCACTTGTTATGTCAAATCTGATATAGAAAAACAAAGGTCTCCTAGGGAAAGCCAAAACACAAATTCACAAAACAACCTGTTCAGGCGATTATAATCTTTAAAAATTAAAATATATATTAGTTTACTAATAAGCTTCTATGTAGCTGCTTGGATAAACATTTATGTGTTGTTGAACCCTGAGAAGTTTCCTTAAAGCTTACCCAGTATAATCATTTACGTTGTTAGGTTTTGTTCCTGAGGGAAAAAAATGCATATATCTCAGCTGGCAGAGGAATAGAATCCCTACCCTTAAATAATGAAATACCTGAGAGCTGAAACACTTAATATCCTCAAGGCTAGGTTTACATGACTTGTCCTCATAATAAAACGGTTTTGCCCCATTTTGAAGGATACTAACATAGATTTCATACCTTTAGATAGGAGACCACCTTAAGACATTTACAAGTTTTCTGCTAGGTTATAACTACTTCTAGGAATGCTCTGCTGTTATTACAAATAGTCCTCTTGATAAAAATTTCAGGAGTGCAGGGGTCCAGGCCAGAGAAGACATATGGCCTGGAATTCTAGGACCTGGTTAACAGATACGTGCATGTCAACTCTTTGAATTTATGTCACTAAAGGAAATGTTAAAATTTTGTTAAAATATAATTCATATATTTCCATTGTTAGTAACATTAATATAATCTTGTACTATCAACTTTTCTTTCAAAGAATAGGGGAGAAAGATAGAAGAAAAGTTAATTGGCTCATATTCAGAATCTTAAAACTCAAGCACATTATTTACTTTTATAGAATTGATCATATCTTGGGTTTTAAGGTAACCATATAAATGATGTGCTTATTTTACTTTAACCTCCACATGCCAATAGTCCTAAGTTGTTTTAGTTCCATAGTCATACGATAAAATGGTAATCCAAAGTTTAACATTGTGATCCACAGTGATCAGTGTAGTGTTTGTACCTATGAGGAACGGTGTATTACTTTCAGTTCTATACTGAGTGATAAAAAAAATTACTTACAGTTACCACATAAGTTTGTACATTAGTTTAAGCTGTCCTTGTTTTATATTATTCATTCCAATAAATATATTCCACAAAATTTTCCTCTCATGATTTAGGATCTTACCCAGTGTGTTACATGCCAAGAAAAACACATTACTGTAAAGAAGGAACCTCATGAGTCCCTTGGGATGACAGTAGCTGGGGGCAGAGGAAGTAAGAGTGGTGAACTGCCCATCTTTGTGACCAGTGTGCCACCTCATGGCTGCCTTGCACGCGATGGCAGAATCAAGAGAGGTAAGATAGGTTTTTCAATAATGTCAATAATGTCACCGAATCTCCCTGAATTCAACTTCGTACATAAAAAATATGTATAAAGTTTTCTTTTAAACATGACTTTTTAATTCTTTAAAATGTCCCTTGCATATGTAAGCATAAAGCCTCTTTAGAAGGTTAGAAAAATGCCTACTGTAAAGGGAAATTGCCAAAGCTTGGCATTTTCTAATAGTTATGGAGACTGTTGGACTGTTTTATACTAGAAAAGACTCTCTAAGAAATTTATGTTTCCTACATGATGGCAGGCTAGATAAAAATACAAATGTCTCCAAAATACAAATGTTGCTTATACTAAAGTGGGAGGGGTTCACAGAGGACATGGAGCAGAAGACAAACTTTAAAATATAGTGGGTTTGGGGATTAACACATTTAGAAGTTCACGTTCCACATCAATACTATATTATTTGTGTACGTGGGAGTGGTAGTGGTAAAAACAGCATTCTTCATACACTTGGTTTATTCATGTGGAAAAGTGAGTCTTAAAAGCTATGTTTTCGAGAGTGAAGTTGGAATCCTACCTCAAGCCACATACAAGAATTAACTTATTATGGATCCAAGACCTAAATGTAAGATCTACAACATTCAGAGGAAAACTCATGACCTTAGATTAGGTGGTGGTTTTCTTAGATATGACACCAAAAACACAAGCAACAATGACAAAATAGATAAATGACTTCATCAAAATTGCAAATTTGATGATGAACCCACACCACCAAGAAAGTAAAAAGATAACCCACAGTATGGGAGAAAATATTTGTAAATTGTATATCTGATGAAGGACTTGTATCTAGAGTACATAAAGAACTCTTACAACTCAATACATAAAAAGCTAAAAACCCAATTGAAAAACGAGCAAAGGATCTGAATAGACATTTCTCCAAAGGAAATATACAGTGGCCAGTAATCCCAAGAAAAGATGCACGGTGTCACTGGTTATTAGGGAAATACAAATCAAAGCCACTTCACACTCACAAGGATGAATATAATAAAAAAGACAGGCAATAGCAAACATTGGCAAGGATTTGGAAAAATTGAAATCATCAGACATTGCCAGTGGGAATGTAAAATGGTGCAACTGTTTTGGAAAACAGTTTAGCAGTTCCTCAAAAAAGTTAAACATGATCTGTAACAATTCTGTTCCTGGAGAAATGGAAATACGTGGCCACACAAAAACTTGTACATGAAGTTTCATAGCCGTATTTTTCATAATAACCAAAAAGTAGAAGCAACCCAAATATCTGTCAGTTAATGAGTAGATTAACATAATGTGGTATATCCATACAATGGAATGCTATCTTATATAATAAAAGGCTAATACGCAAACCGACCGAATGGTGGAAAGACTGGTTGCTATGCTGCACACTGATCACCAGGGGGCAGACGCTCAACACAGAAGTTGCCCCCTGGTGGTCAGTGCACTCCCACAAGGGGAGCACTGCTCAGCCAGAAGCCCTGAGCCAGGCTCACGGCTGGTGAACACAGCAGTGGTGGTAGGAGCCTCTCCCGCCTCCGTGGTAGTGCAAAGGATGTCTGTCTGATAGCCCAGGCCTGCTCCCTGGGGAGTAGGCCTAAGCCGAAAGACGGACATTCCCGAGGGTAGAAAAAATAGCACATAAAGATGGCTTGCATTCTGCCCCTGACCTGACCTCAGATTCCTGGACTGTGAGAGGGTGCAGGCCAGGCTGAGGGACGTCCCCCAAGTGCACAAATTTCGTGCCCTGGGCTTCTAGTTTGACTATAATAAGGAATGAAGCATTGACACAAGCTACAGTATAGGTCAGCGGTTCTCAACCTGTTGGTCGTGACCCCTTTGGCTGTCGAACGACTCTTTCACAGGGGTCGCCTAAGACACTCCTGCACTCATCATTGATGTTTCTGTCCCTCTCCCTTCCTCTCTAAAAAATCAATAAAATATATTTAAAAAAATAAAATAAAAGGGTCGCAGCATTGGGAAGGTTGAGAATCACTCTTATAGTTGAACCTTGAAAACATTATGCCCATTGAAAGAAGAAGCCAGTCACAAAAGACCACATGTGGTTCCATTTATATGGCATGTCCAGATGGGAAGATCTGTAGAAAGAGAAAGTAGATTAGTGATTACTTAGGCCTGGGGGAAGAAAAGTGACTGTTAATGGGTACATGTTTTTTGGGGGTTCATCTTAAAATGATGGGTGATGGTTCTACAATTCTGTGACTATACTAAAAACCATAAAATTGTAACTTTGAATGAATTGAATGTTATATGAATAATATCTTTAAAAGGCTGCTATTTTTTATAGTTATTTGTCCAGTTATAGAATTAGGGATAATTTTATTTTCTTTTTATTATTTATTATGTTTTCTAAATTTTCTACAATGAAAATGTTTTGCTTTAACAATCTGAATAATAGATGAATTGGGAGAGGAGGTTTTCTGTAGGTTTCTTGATACGAGTGTGTGTGCTTCCTACAGAAGTAATCTTTTTCTTCCTAGCCTTTTATTTAATCCTCAGTGCCCTTTTTATCATATTACTTGACAGGGGACTAAATACTTTTTTTCTCCCTCAAGGAAGAGATGTTCAAATCACTAGTTTCATTTCTTTGTGTAGGCCCAAGAATATCCTCTGTACATATTCTCATCTGTTTGCACTGAGTGAACTATGTGAGGCTGCCTTTAAGTATGAAACTGTGTAAACATAGAATATTAAAATTCATGTCTAAGTTAGCAAAGTGTCAAATAATTTTTGAATTGGAAAGAACAGGAGAAATCATTGAAGCTCAAAGAAGAGAACTGAATGTGCAAGGGCCTGTACCCAGCTACACCTATGACATGCCAGGACCAGGGATTTGGACTTCCAGTGGAATCGCAGTGCCTCAAGCCACACTTTTCCCTATGTACTATGAAATTATTTTAAATTTTTGAATTGTTTTGGAATTATTTTCATGAGTTGAATTTTTTTCTCAGTACTATAAAAATTACAAAGAAGAAAAAACAAGGTCTTTTACTTTATCTCATCTGAGTCATTGAAAGTAACTTTTGTTGATTAGCTTACCAGTAGAAGAATTTACAGGGAGATAATCACTTGGTAGTTCAGCTCATTTTTTTTTGTCTTGTCATTTGAACAGGTGATGTGTTGTTGAATATCAATGGCATTGATTTGACCAATTTAAGTCACAGTGAGGCTGTTGCTATGCTGAAAGCCAGTGCTGCATCCCCTGCTGTTGCCCTTAAAGCCCTTGAGGTCCAGGTTGTTGAGGAGGCCACCCAGGCCACGGATGAGCAGCCAAGCACTTTCAGTGAAAACGAGTATGATGCCAGTTGGTCCCCATCGTGGATCATGTGGCTTGGGCTTCCCAGGTACTGACAGCTTTTTTGTTGCTTTATGAAGTAATCATAATTACAACTTTTATTAGTCTGTAACCCAGTAAATTTTAGATAAAAGTAGCAACATCAAGCAAGTTACAAAAGAAAATGGTAATTTTTCTTAGCTTATTGTATTTAAAAGGTAAATGTAATAATAAGAACTAAGCTAAAAAGATGTCCATTTATACAAATTAATAAAGCCATTTGTCTGTTTCTGTTAAGGCTCATAAGTGGGCAGGCCATGAGAGGGGATGTTCAGTCTCTTGCTCAGGAATGCTGTCATTATCAAGGTTCATTCTGATACATGCTTAACCTTCATGTTCATGGGGTCAAAATGCGGAGCCTTGTCCTATCCCAGAAGGCTTTCTGAAAGCCCTTTGTTCTTAATGCTTTTAACTTTCCTAAAATGGCTGTGTATAAAACTCAGTTTTTATTGGACATAGAGTCTTAAGCCCAATGATTAAGCGTAGGTGCTCCTAACCACGTTTCTGAAGAATTCACTGCTTCAGGACTGACTGACTAGCCAAGGGGTTCTGAACTTGGCCAGCGTCTGGTCATGGAAACACTTGGAACCTCCATAGTTTGAGATTGAGGTAGGAAGAATGTGTTCGTATCTTTGTTTCCAAATCAGCTTAGATTCTTAACATATAAAAGACTCCTAAAACCAAACTATGATGAAACATTTTGACTGTTAACAGAGTATGAAAATTACTCATTTATAATAAAAATAAAGGATAAGAATGTGCCAATTTCTGAGCTATCTAGCTTCATTTGGAATAAATTGGTAATAACTAGAATTTGTATAGCACTCTGGTTTATAAAGTACTTTCACAGAAAGAACAATAAAGAAACAAGGATATTTTTATTGGGTATTATTAGATTATCCAATCAGATTATTAGGTTATTTGTTTATAATCTAACTTGCTGATTTGTCTTCTTGGTTATAAACAAACAAACAAAAAGGCTGCCAGGTCATTGTGGCTCAGTGATTGAGTATCGACCTATGAACCAGGAGGTCACAGTTCAATTCCTGGTCAGGGTGCAGGCACAGTTTGCGGGCCAGATCCCCAGTGGGGAGCGTGCTGGAGGCAGCCAATCAGTGATTCTGTCTGATCATTGATGTTTCTGTCTCTCCCTCTCCCTTCCTCTCTGAAATCAATAAAAAAAAAAACCATAAAAACAACAACAAAGAGGCCTAAAATTATAATAGAATTCATGTCTCAGGGACCTGTAGGGACCTTGTATGTGGAACTTGTGGAGGGAGATTTTTTTATGACAGATGATTTAGCTACTTAGATACCTATTTATCCCATGCACCAAAATTGAAATAGGAGATTTTTGTTACTATTTTCCATATTTGAGTTCCCTATTTTGTCAACTAGAGTCTCTTAAAATGAAAGCATATTAAGTGAGAAGCAAAATACAACAAATTCTAACTCCTTGTGTAGATTAAAAAGAGGGATAGCAATCTTACATTTTTTAGGAATCTCATTTTCTTTCAATTGAGTGCTGAAGTCAGTACTAGACCCTCATAACCACTTTTTTTGTTATTTTGTTTTTGTTAATCCTCATCCAATGATATTTTTTCAATTTATTTTTTAGAGAGAGTGGAAGGGATAGGAGGAGAGGGGGAAGAGAGAGAGAAACATCAGTTGGTTATCTCCCATACATGCCCCAGCCAAGGCCAGGGATAGAATCTGCAACCCAGGTATCAAACCTGGGACCATTCAGACTATGGGCCGATGCTCTAACCTCCAGCCATCCCAGCCAAGCGTACCACCATACAAATTTTGAAGGTACCAATAGATATCAGAATGTAGGACCTGTTGACAGTACAGTGAGAAAATATAGGTTTAGAACCATTTTATACAATTTCTGAGGTGTAAACAACTTTATTTAAATTGTGTGTGTGTGTGTGTGTGATTCACTTGGGAAGAGAAGACTGAAAAAAAGTGAAAGAAATTCAAGTCTACATAGAACTGCATCTGTGCTGGAAAGTGGGTGGTCAGAATAATACATTCAGAAGAAAATAAAGTAGCCCTTTTTCTTTTCCCAGTGATGGAAAGTATAACATGGTGTGCAGTTATAGCAAAGATGAGCAGGCTGTAATTGCCTCCATTAATTGTTTCCTGATGTCTGTATTTGTTTATAGTTCCCTTCATAGCTGCCATGATATAGTTTTACGAAGAAGTTACTTGGGAAGTTGGGGCTTTAGTATTGTTGGTGGATATGAAGAGAACCACACCAATCAGCCTTTCTTCATTAAAACCATTGTCTTGGGAACGCCTGCTTATTATGATGGAAGATTAAAGTGAGTCTTGTTATTTACTGATGTGATTCATGTTTGTTGTGATGGACATGATCTAGACCAGGGATCAGCTCCAAATGCAGCTATCTGTTTTTGTAAATAAAGTTTTATAGGAACATGACCATGCTCATTTGTTTACATGTCATGTGTCACTGCTTCTGAGCTACAGTGGCAGAGTTGATTCCTTATGACAGAGACCATGTGATTGGCAAAGCCTAAAATATTTATTTACCATCTGGCCTTTATAGGAAAATATTGTCAAACCTGATGTAGACGAAGCATTACCTTTACAATCTTGCCACTCATAGCTGTATTTTGCTAATCTGATGACAGGCTTGAACATGAGTCATTGCACTGCACATACTGTGATGTGACTAGCTCGGAGCAGTTTTGCCACACAATTCACTCAGGTCTAGTCCTGTCATTAGATGCCTCTGCTTTATTTTTCTCCTCAGCACTTATGTCTGCCTAACAATATATTTATGCAAGCTCCACACAGGGAGGGGGAGAGGGGACTTTGTTATATTTACATCCCTGGTAGCCAGAGCAGTGCCTTGCATATGTAGTAAGGTCTCAACAAATATTTAATGAACGAGTGTGTGATAGTTGACAGTGTGCCAGGCACAGTGCTAGGTGCTTGGGATTGATTGGATTATTGAATCCTCTTAACCCTGGGAGGTGTTGTAATTCCCATTTATAAACTAGGTAGCTAAGGCTTAGAAAGGTTAAGAAACCTGCCCACAATCAACAGCTGAAAGTGGTTGACTGCAACTCAAACCCAGACTACTTAGCTTCAGAGCCTTTCCCACTAACCCCTCGGCCAGTTGTCACCACTGGGCAGAAAGTACTTGCTAGGCTCCGTGCAGCCTTCTTTTCTTTTTCAAAACTCGGGTGCTGGGAAAAGAATAAAGTGTTATATCAAGAGATTATACAAACAGAGGGGAGGTGGGTGATTGTAAGTTCTTAGTGCCTAGTTTTTGATGAAAAAACCAATTTGCAAAAATTAAGTTTGACATCGTAGACAGAATTGAGCACAAACAGAGAGATTACAGTGCTTGCAAACAGAAAGTTACATCAAAATAATATTGTGAAAAGTTGATCAGGGTTGGTATGCTCCAAATCAGTCTTTTATCAGATTATTTTATACAATGGAAAGCATTATTTTATAAGCAAAGAGTAGGGGGAAATGAATTAGCCATTCTCTTAGCTAAATTAACCAGATTGAGTCTCGGGTAGTTTATAATTTGCATTCCACCTACTTCCAAAAAGAAGTTGAGGTAACTAACAATAAAATAGTATGTTCATATTACAAATTAAAGATCAAAAATCATAAAAGATTTATTCGCCTATGCTTGCATGAAAATCATTCTTCTTGTCCTTGAAATCACCCACTAGTTAAAGGAGAGAGCGTGGCAGAGGGTAGCCAAGGAAAAGCAACATAGACTTAAAAATTCACCCCACATGTTTCTCACTCTAATCATTGACAGTTAATGGTTAAGTTAAACTGATTTTTATGCTAAACAAATTTCAAGGTAATCAATGTTTCTACCTCTCCCTTCCTCTCAAATCAGTAAAGACATATTTTTTAATGGTTTTAATACCATGAAAATCATGACAGTCTGTTTCTGTTTCTCTGTCTTTGTCCAGATGTGGAGACATGATCGTGGCCGTGAACGGCCTGTCAACTGTGGGCATGAGCCATTCCGCATTAGTTCCCATGTTGAAGGAGCAGAGGAACAAAGTCACTCTCACGGTTATTTGCTGGCCTGGCAGCCTGGTGTAGATTTTGAAATTGGTTTTGAGTCAAACATCTTTCTTTTTTAGGTTTTGGAGAAAAAAAACCTTTTGTTTTATTGTATTTCTGGTTGTTAGGAGCTATTGGCACAGCTGGTATATGCAGGGCCCCAAACCACTAAGATTGTCCTTCTCTTGTTTAAGTGGTTTAACTCAAGTTAGCCACATTTCTTTCCTCTTGGAAACAGTTTTCCACTAATCCTATGAGTTCATATTTTCAGAATGTGACCTATAATAATGAATGAAGTTTGTCAAAACTGTGACCAGCCAGCTAGATTCGAGGACTTCTGGTGGCTCTTTGTTTTCACTGACCGAATCAGATAATGAGTTACATGTGCCCAAGACTGGTATCAGTGAAGACAGGAGCATAGCATTTGCTATCACTGTTACTACCAATGCCAGAATGGGCAGATTTTAAATTTGGATGGTAACCGTTTCCCATTTTTCATAGGTGCCAACATTTCAAAACTGCATACTGTTTATAAGGTGATTTTTCTGGCTTATTTCTTCTTTAATCTCTCAGTGCTCAGAGATGATGAAGAAATAATTTTGACACCACAAAAGAGATTTATTTAAAAAAACATAAACATACCTTTATTAGAATATTAGAGAATAAAAGATAACATTATCCAGTGACAGGAATTTGGGAGATAATTATAGTTTAGTACTAGAGATGTTAAAAGCTGCATATACTTGAACAGTACAAAAGCATTAAAGATTCATTTCCAAAGAAATGTTTTATATAGGAAAATTTTGAAGCAGTTTTTGCTAAAACTATTTTCTAGAGTTTGTATTATCCTTCTGTCAATAAACCTGGCTGGATATGTTTTTGTGATTTATGCAATTAGATCATAAAGATAAAACCATTCAATACACACTTATCCAACACAGCTAAGTAGGAGAAGCTAGACTTTTAAAATTTTATTCTGTAAGATTCTTGAGTGTTTTAGAAACCCTTATTTTTCACCATTAGTCCTTTACTTATTATTTTTTTTTAAGTGAAAAGTTCTGTGTTGTTTTTTAAAATCTGAAATAGTAGATTTTAGATATGAATATCTTTCTATCAGTTTTTGGTCACTAGACTATTTCATATTTTTTGAGAAGTTTTTGAAAGCTATGACCAGCCCATTATGTTTGTCCTTTATTCAATATGGTTGTCCTTCAGAAGAACACATAAAGGTGTGAATAAGATAAAAATATCCTTACCTTTTTAATATTGTGCATACTTGAAAAAAGTTTCATTAGAAACATAGTTCAGAATCTGAGCTAATTTACAAATGACCTCTGTAATGAATGGTATTGATGATCAGAGGATGTATTTCAAAATACTACAGTGTATTATGAAGCATGACCACTTTGTTTTCAAACTTAGCAATTGCATTGCTGTGTTCATTGTATTCTAGCATGCCACTAATTATTCCAGTTAGTTTTATAATGATTTTTTAAAATATATCTCTTTTGAATAAATAAGAAATGGAATAATTATTACTAACTTGTTCAATCCCTGAGCCACACTGTACTCGACAGGTAACCAACATACAGTGGAATGCCCCATGCAGTATATTACTGTTATGTCATGATTGACTTTGGAAGCAATTTGATACTGAAATGCTTTGATATTCTAATTGACATGGAACAAGTTTTATTCCTGCTCCCCAAGTAGAATTTTGTAACCCACTTTGCTATTTTTTTAAACGTTTTATAAAAATGAGTCATTTCTTGGGGAGTGGCCATCCATCAACAAATACCCTAACTGCTACTTTGTTATATATAAAATAGTTTTCACTGAACCTAGTGGTATAATGAGTATTCTGAAAAGAAGAAATACTTTTCAATATTATTTTTATTATGGAAATCTTGAAATCAGCTTAAGCTAATTTGGTTTTATTACAAAAGATTATATAGCTTTTGGTCAGAATGATATTTGGTGATGGAAATTTATTCATAATTTATTGTTACTGTTGAAATATTTGAATTTTGTCATTTGAAGCTTAAACAGTTAAATATTTCTATTTGTTCTGTGCCTTCAGTTTAAATTATTTCAGGATTTTCCAGATATGTTTAAATAATGGTGTGATGATCATTCTTGATGGAAATAAAAGTCATCATTTCCATAATAGCAGCATTGTATCTTTTCTGTAGCAGCAGATGTTAACTCAGTGTGTGATCCTTATTTTTGTTTGTGCACCATTGTTGTCATTACAATATCCCAAGCTTAAACCTCAGGAACACAAATCCATCTTCTAGTTCTCATTTCTCTAGGCATATGATCCCTAGTGACTTGCTTGTGCCAGTACCTCTAGACGGGTGGCTACTGAGTGCCTGAAATGTGACCAGTGTTACATATTGAAATGATAATACCGTGGATGTATGGATTATATAAAATATACTAGAGGCCCAGTGCACAAAATTTGTGCACTGGTAGGGTCCCTAGCGGCTGCCAGCTGGGTACTCCTTCCCTTCCCCCAGCCACCTGCCAACATCAGGGCCTCCCTCCCTTCCCCTGGCCTGCCCACCCGCTGGTCAAACCCCCGGATGAACTCCAGTCAAGGGGACAATTGGCATACTATGCTTTTATTATATAGGATTATTAAAATTAATTTCACCCATTTATTTTTACATTTTTAAAATATAATTGATTTTTACAGAGGAAGGGAGAGGGATAGAGAGTTAGAAACATCAATGAGAGAGAAGCATCGATTAGCTGCCTCCTGCACAACCCCCACTGGGGATCAAGCCTGCAACCAAGATACATGCCCTTGACTGGAATCGAACCCAGGACCCTTCAGTCTGTGGGCCGATGCTCTATCCACTGAGCCAAACCAGCTAGGGCTATTTTTACATTTTTTACAATGTGGTTACCAGAAAAGTTTGAATTACATATGTGGCTCACCTTGTATTTCTATTGGACAGAAGCCATGGTCTCCTCACCTTTACATTGTCACAGCACTTATCAGGCTTGGCTGCCCTGACATGGTTTCTATTTCTCTGGAGCTTTGATCATTTCCTGCATCAAAAAAAAATTTTTAATGAAAAGAAACTTGACGCTGGATTTCTAATAAATTAAGTTCAAACCAAGGCCACTGTGTCTGACCCCTAATCTGGTTTTTCAGATGACTCTGCAGTCCTGTTTACCCCTCGGTACTCCATCAGGCTCCCCCTGCCCTCAGTGCTGCCCCCATACACAGGCTTACAGAGTTCCCTCTACCACTTCCCTGCAGTGCTCTCCCTTCTGTGTATCTCACATGGCCCTATATCTGGAGGCATAACTTGAACACAACTGCATCTTGCTTCCTCTTACCTCCACTTCCACTTTCAAGAGAATTACCCTCCTTGTGATGGAACCTCAGCCAGCCTTCATATTTGTATGTTTTATGGCTCTGACCACTTTCTACCTAATGACTGTCACAGTTTTAAGTACCATCTTTGACAGCCATCTTGTAATTTTGAATACCATTGTTGCCCTAAGTCTTAGCTCCCACAGTCTGTAGTATGAATGTCCTATTGCTTTAAGGTACACCATCTCAGTCCTCCAAAGTAAAACAGTATCCCCAAGCATTAGCCTACTTTCCCTCCCTCCCTCTCTCCCTCCCTCCCTGATCAGGATTGAACCCGCCACCTTTTTTGATGCACAGGATGATGCTCCAACCAACTGAACCACCCAGTCAGGGCCACTCCATATTCAATATGAACTCCTATGAGAGAAACTTTTTCTAAACACATTTTGACCATCATTCTGATCATATCCTTGGCCTGTTTAAAATTTGTCAATGGTTCTCTGCTGTGCAGGAGGAGGTCAGAAGGGCATGGCACAGCATGAAAGTCTCTTCAAAATGTGGCCCCTGCCTATTCTTCAACTGTACTTTCCACCCTTCCTTGCTTCAGATCTAAACCACCACCCACACCCTCACATCCTTGCCCTCCTGTGTCCACAGGAGCTAACTTGGCTCAAGTGACATTGCCTCTTTTAAGAAATCTTAGAGAACCAAGATGACAGCATAGGTAAACACCTATACTTGCTGCCTCTCACCACCACATCAAAATTACAACTAAAAGGCAGAACAAATACCACCCAGAACCACAGGAAAGCTGACTGAGTGGAAGTTCTACAACTAGAGAGGTGAAGAAAGTGCATTGAGACTGGTAAGAGGGTTGAGGCACAGAAAGTGCTGGCACCTGGATGTGCTGCTCTTTTAATCAGGAGGGAGATACCAGCTCCCACTTGCTCTGAACTCCAGTTATGGATGAGACTCTGGGGACCCAGACTCACACAGGGAGAAACTGGACTGTCTGAAATCGGGACAGGAATGCAAGGGTGGCTTTCTCTCAGAGATGCTCGCAATGATCATTGTTCCTGCACGGGGGCGCGGGATGCGGAGACCAGGGGACCTCTCCGGTGCAGGGCTGACTGGCAGCCATTGCTGTTTGCTCCGCCCTGGTGATTCCCTGAGACCCTGCCCCACCAAATTTACAACCTCACACAAACTGTGCACATCAGCTTTTGCATATGAATGGCCTGTCCTTTCTCTGCCTAAAACCTGTCAAACTGTAGCTGGGTCAGAGAACTCCAGAGCTTCCAAAAGAAGGCCCAAGGCCCGGTAGCAGCAGCCTGCCTTGCGTCACAGCTGGGCCTCATCTGGGCACTTCCAAACCCCAAACAAAGAGGCGGAATCTTCAGATCTCTCTGTAGCTCCTGCTGGGCAGCCCCAGACAGTGGCAGACCTTGCACCTCCTTGGAGATCCAACAGCCAGTGTATCCAGTGGTCAGAGTGAGACCATCCAGATTACCACTCTTCACATCCATAAGTGACACACTCAAGGGGCAGACTCAGTGAGCACCAAAGCCCCACTGAACCAAGTCCTGCCCCATAAGGGTGTCTTCTACACAACAGATCTTCCAGTGTAGACACAGCTCGT